GACTGACACGCGTTTTCACCGCAGTGGCGTCAAACGCGCAGCCCCACGGCGTCATCAGCTGTCACGCTTCGCCTCAGCACACACCGGCCCACCTAGACATGAAGGTTGGTCCGCGGTCCGAACGCAGCACACGGGCGCGTTTAGAGCCCTTTCGAGGAAGCCTTGCCTTCAGTCACGCGGAAAACATTCCCGCGACATGACGGCGGTCGAGGCGGTGGACCCATCACTTAAACGCACGTCCACTCCACGAACATTACGCGGAATGACTAAAAACATGCTCGCCAGACAGATGGATGGCCAGGGTGTTATGCAAAGGTTACACATTGCAATTTGCAACCCGACCCCCTCCGTTCGGAGGAATTTTAGAGATGGTCCTGTCATCACCAGACCAAATCTCATCCCTAAATGCAGAAGTCCAAGAGCTTCTGATAAAAGAAGTAATCTCCAGAGTTCCCAACGGAGAAAAAAACACAGGGTTTTACTCACGTTACTTCCTGGTTCCCAAACGGACCGGAGGGATGAGACCGATTTTGGTTCTGTCAGCTTTCAACAAGGTGATCATGGACAAACCGTTTCACATGTTGACAACCAGACAGCTGTTGGACAACATCCAGAGAAAGGACTGGTTTGTTTTCCGTCGACCTGAAAGATGCTTATTTTCACATACCGATCATCCCAAAACACACAAAATTCCTGCGTTTCTCCTTTCAAGGGATGAAGTATCAGTACAACAGGCTGCCATTCGGTTATCCTCTCGCGCCTCGTACGTTCTCAAAGTGTGTGGAGACAGCCCTGTATCCGTTACACAGAGCAGGGATGAGAGTTTTGTTTTACCTGGACGACCTGCTGCTGCTGTCACGCTCCAGACAGGAAGCAGTGATGCAGGCTCAGGTGTTGACATCACACCTGTTAAATCTGAGCTTCACCATAAATTGGAAGAAAAGCTCAATTTTCCTGGCCCAGACAATTGTTTATCTGGGAGTGGAGCTAACTCAACCACCATGAGGGCTCGTTTATCACAAATGAGAATTGACACTTTAAAAGACCAGCTCCATCTCGTAAGACCTGGCAGAGTGGTAACAGCTGTTTTCCATCATGAAGCTGTTAGGAATGATGTCATCAGCTCACACAGTTGTCCACTGGGTTTATTACACATGAGATGCCTCCAGAGGTGGTTTGCGCGTCTGCGTGTGGATCCAGAAAAACAAAAGAGACGGATGATCACTGTTCCTCCCTCCGTGAGAGCAGACCTCCGACACTGGGGAAACACCCTGGTTCTGTCGGAGAGAGCCCTCGTCAGCAGACCCACATCACACTTGCCAGTCTTCACGGACGCGTCGCTGTCAGGCTGGGGGGGGGACATGCCTATCTCAAGCAGTAGGGGCGCTGTGGCCCCATCACACATCTGCCCACATAAATGTTTTGGAGTGCCACACAGTGCTGAACGTGATTCAACACTTTGCTCCTGTGCTGCAGAATCAACACGTTTTGATTCACACAGACAACAAGGTTACTGCTGCGTACATAAACCGGCAGGGGGGTGTGCGCTCAGCCCAGATGTTACACAGTGCGTGAAAGCTACTGTGTTGGGCTCACCAAAATCTGCTCTCCATCAGAGCAGTTTACATACCCGGTGTTCTGAACAAAGGGGCAGATGTGATGTCCAGGGGCGGTCCACATCACGGGGACTGGACTCTCCATCCAGACCTGATGACTCAGACGTGGCAGAAATTTGGCAAAGCAGCTGTGGACCTGTTTGCGACACGAGAAAACGCTCAGTGTCAACTATGGTTTTCTCTGAGCCCGCGAGACGAACCACCGCTGGGGTTGGATGCGTTTGCCCACAGCCCATGGCCCAAAACGCTTCTGTATGCATTTCCTCCACCTCCTCTGATTTTACGGTTCCTGAACTGAGTTCAGGAGGAGGGATTGACAGCTCTCCTGGTGGCCCCCGAGCGCGTGAACGCACCATGGTTCCCAGTCTTGCAACGCCTGCTGTCAGGGCACCCATGGAAACTGCCATGGAGGGAGGATGCTCTCCTCCAGGCAGGAGGAGCGATCAGGAGTTACCCAGAAATAGGCCAGCACCTGTGGGTCTGGCCACTGAGCGGATCCGCTTAGAGAGGATGGGTCTCCCACAGGATGTAGTGCGCACAATCCAGGATTCACGTGCTACATCTACCACAGCGCTGTACACATCAAAGTGGACAGTTTTTCAGCACTGGTGTACAGAGAAAGGTATAGAGGTCATCTCATGTCCACTAGGTGGCATGCTGTCCTTTCTGCAGCAGCTGATGGACAGAAATTTGGCGTCCAGCACGATTAAAACGTACGCCACAAAGTGTTCGGAGACAGAACAAGTTTTAATCATCCGCTGATGAAGCGTTTTCTAAAAGGTGTACAGAGACGCAGGTCTGTTTCACCCACTTGCTCCACAGTGGGTTTTAACGCTGGTCCTGCAAGCCCTGATCAAAGCCCTATTTGAGCCTCTGGATCAGGTCCTAATTAAATTCTTGTCTCTTAAAACAGCCCTGCTGCTGGCTTTAACATCCGCTAAGAGAGTGAGTGATTTATCTGCCTTCTCTGTCATGCCGTCATGTCTCAGAATTCAGGCTGACGGCAGTTCAGCTGATACAAGACCAAATCCAGCTTTATGCCTAAAACATCACGGGCTCTTTTAAATCAAGGGTGATATCATTGGAGGGGTTTTCCCTTCCCCCCACAAATCAGAAGAAGAAGCGTTTTTTTCCATCTTCTCTGTCCGGTGCGGGCGTTGACATGTTACATAGCACGCACAGCTGCAATGCATCAAATTCAACATTTGTTGTGCCTTATAGAGATGCATCTGCAAGTCGCCCATTATCCACCCAGCGCCTGTCACATTGGCTGTGTGAGGCCTTTTCTGAAGCCTACAGAGCATCAGATTTAGAGCCTCCTGTCAACCTCAGAGCACACTCGACCAGGGGTATCGCATCTTCGACTGCTTTGCATAATGGTATGACAATGCAGGACATTTGCACTGCGACCGCGTGGTCAACACCCTGCTCATTCATTCGCTTTTATCTACGTGATGTGACGGCCCGTTCCATGACACATTCTGTCCTTAGTGTTACAGAATGAATGTTATTGTTTCATGGAACTCCGTTTTACTCACATCTGTCTGCACGCATTACAGTGTGAAATGTTGTTATCAGTCACAAGTTGTGATTGTTATTTTGGTTCTATTATCACTAATCAGTTCATGACTATTGTTACCAATCAGTTCATTTGATTAATAATCAGTTATCCTGTTATTATTAATTTGTTCATACTGTTCAGCCGTAACCGGTAGGTTCATGGCTCTTTTCAGCATATTTTCCCTCCCCGTTGAAATTTTTCCGGGGCGTTCATGCATTCAGAACGTATAGTTACACAACATGCGTCTGTGCATGGCACACATAATTACGCAATGCGTAATTACGTCCATGGGGAGCTGAGTGACAAGACGTTTTTTGGGCAAGCTTCTGCTTCATACGGTGTTCGAATGGACCCAGTGAGGCGAGGACCACATCTGCTTCGCCCTTAAACCATCAGCGACAGCCTTAAAGGGCGAAGCTTATACGAAATAGAACGTTGGTTACGTACTGTAACCCCAGATTCTATGAGTATAAGCGTAGCCCTTTAAGCGTTGGGCCTCACTGGCTCCTAAATGGCTGAAGAAAAGTTATTTTGGAGCCGATTACCCGCTCTTTACGTAATTTATACGGACCGGGTGGGGCCCACACAGCAGGTGGGCGTGGACTAAATTTTTTCAGTGTAATGCTTCGCATAACGGGATAAACCATCAGCGACAGCCTTAAAGGGCTACGCTTATACTCATAGAATCTGGGGTTACAGTACGTAACCAACGTTTACCCAATTAGGCTGAAAGAAGCAGAAATGAGCACAAAAAAGTGGAAATTATCAGGAAAAAAACTGAAATGAGCACACACACAAAAAATTCTGCTTAATGCAGCAAAAATGTACTCTCTCCAATTTATTTTCGTAATTTTGGCTTCTTTCTGCTTTTTTTAAGCAACTTTTCAGCTGCTTTTTTTTTCTAATTTCAGCTTTTTCCAGTTAATTTCCACTTTTTTGTGATAATTTCTGCTTCTGTCAGCAAACATGTTCTTTCTTCTGCTCATTTAAGCTTGTTCTTACTTTTCAGCTTCTTTTTTTAAGCGTCTTTAGCTAATTTCAGCTGTTTTCAGACAAATTCAAGTTTTTCATGGTAATTTCTGCTTCTAAACCTAATTGACTTATTTCTGCTAATTTAAGCTTGTTATGCTCCTTTCAGCTTTTTTCTGGTGGTTTCCACTTTTTCAGCTACTTTTTAGTTGTTTTGTGCTAAATTTAGTTTTTTCAGCTAATTCCACTTTTTTTTCTTTTGCTCATTTCATCTCCTTCCACTTCCTTCTTGTAGTTTAAGCTTCTTTGTGGATTTTCATCTACTTTTCTCTTTTCTTTTTTGCTAATTTCAGCCTTTTTTTTTTAGCTAAATTTGTATTTTTTCCTCTTTTCTGCTTATTTAACCTAATTCAGTAAACATGTCTTCTTTCTTCTGGTAACTTAGGCTTGTTCTTCCATTTCAGCTAAATTTCAGCATGTTTTAGCTAATTTCAGCTGTTTTTCAGCAAGTTCTTCAGCAATAAGCATTCACATTGCATTTTTGCAGGAAATCCAATTTCTCTGGTTAATGTTATCTTTAGAATAACGCATTCATTTTATTATAAAAATTTGATGTCACGGACAGTTTAGCCCCTACCCTTACTTTAACCCTTAGCAGTAGAAAGGCAGTGATGGTTCTGTGGTTCCAGGCACAGATGCAAAATAATAACTGTAAGAACAAATACATTTTTTTTTCAATTGAAAAGGATTGATAGCAAAATCACCAATCTGTCAAGGCCAAATATATATAAAAGTATATAAATTTTGCCACATTTTTAAATGTAATCTTTGATATTGCTTTCCTTTTGTTGTAGGTGCTGAACCTTGTCCAGTCATATGTCACTCTGCGTGTTCCTTTATTTGTGTCCTACGTCTTCCACTCGCCTGTGGCCGTCGGGGGATGGCAGCACTTTGACCTGCAGTCGGAGCTGAAACTCACCTTTGTTTATGATACAGCAATTCTGTGGCAGGATGGTATCGGCAGCCCGCCTGAAGCTGAACTACAAGGTGCATAGTCTTACTGTATAATAAGATTTTTTTCTTCTTTCTGCTGCCTTTCATTTTAAATCTTTTGTATCTTTTTTTATATTGTCATGGAATTGTTTTGTACTTTTTAAAAATGAATAAACTTTATACCATACTGTTCTCCACTTGTATCTCAAAATCTAATCACGGATGGAATAAAATGTTTTGTATTTTGTTTTAGGAGCCATGTACCCCACCAGCATGCGCATAAATGAGGAGGGCCGTCTTATAGTTTACTTCAAGACCGAAGCTCGCTTCAGGGGACAGTTTGTTATGTCTCATCCAGGTATGAGGGTGGCGCCCACATGCACAGCATTCAAACCCCAAACCCATCCTGTAGGGTTAAATTTATACAAGCAGCAGCATATTGGGTTACTCTGTGGATAGCATACTCTATCTTCAGCTATTTCTGGAGTTCCGCCTCAGGGGTCTTCCTGTGTGAACGTGCCAAAGGTAATTTAAGCAAATGGTTAAATGACCCTGCAGCATTTAGTTAGGCAGCAAGAGACAGAAACAATGTGACATGCCTCTAAGAAATACAAACATGGTTGCTAGTTTAGATGAGACTCTGTGCAGCTGTAAAGAATAATGCCTGCTTGTTTGTCTTCAGGAACCAGCGTGTTGTCCATGGTGATATGTGCTGAACATCCTGAGCTGACGTTTACTCTTTCCTTGGTCAAGACTGCGCCGACCTACAACCAGCCAATGCAGCAATGGAGTTTTACCTCAGATTTTGCAGTGAGCCATTATGATTCTATTTCTTAAATGGCACAATAACAAGATAACTAGAGAAATGCATTGTGAATGCTTATTGCTGAAGATCTTACTGAAAAACAGCTGAAATTAGCTAAAAGCATGCTGAAATGTAGCTGAAATGAAAGAAAAAGCGTAAATCAGCAGGAAAAAGCTGAAGAAAACTTTTGCTGAATTAGGTTTAAATAAGCAGAAATGAGCACAAAAATTAGAACATTAGCTTAAAAAATGCTGAAATTAGCAGCAAAAAAAAAACAAAAAAACTAAAAAGTAGCTGACAAGGCAGAAAGAAGCTTAAAGTACCAGAAGGAAGTGGAAGGAGCTGACATGAGCTGAAAAAAAGTTAAATTAGTTGAAAAAGCTTAGCAACAAAACAAACACACAAAAAAAAAAACAGCTATAAAGTACCTGAAATAGCAGAAAAAGCTGAAACTAGCAGGGGAAAAAAGCTGAAAGAAGCATAACAAGCTGAAATTAGCATAAAGAAGTTAATTAGGTCAAACATAGCAGAAATTACCACGAAAAACTTAAATTTATCTGAAAACAGCTGAAATTAGCTAAAATATGCTAAAAAGCTAACTGAAAAATTAGACCAAGCTTAAGTTAGCAGAAGAACACAGAAAACACATGTCTGCCCAATTAGGCTGAAAGAAGCAAATGAGCACAAAAAAGTGGAAATTATCTGAAAAAAGCTGAAATTAACAAAAATAAACCTGCTGAAAAGTAGCTATAAAAACAGAAAGAGGCTTAAAATAGCAGAGGACGTGGAGAGATGCATTTTTGCTGAATTAGACTGAAAAAAGTTGAAATGAGTGCAAAAAATGTGGAATTATCTGAAAAAGCTTAAATGTGCATAAAACAGGTATATAGTAGCTGAAATAGTAGAAAAAGCTGAAACTTGCATAGTGAACAATAAATAAGCTGAAATTAGCATAACAAGCTGAAATTAGCAAAAAGAAGTCAGAAGAAACACAAAAATGTTGTAGTCATCAGAAAGAATCTGAAAGGAGCAAAAACAGCTGAAATTAACTGAAAATAGCTGAACATTTTTTTTTTATTTGCACAAGGAAGCAGAATCAGAACAAAATGTGAAAGGAGCAGTAAAAGGTTGTAAACACATCTAAAGATTTGAAGAATGCAAAATTAGCTCAATTCATTTTCTTTGAGAAAAGTGTCAGAAAAGGCTAAATATTTCTAAAAGCTAAAGTTGCACCAATACCAAAAGTCCTATCACCCTTCTCTTGAACATTTTGATATATGATTTGTTGAAATAGCACAAAAAATGTGGAACAAGAAAGATGCTGAAAAACGTACAGAAGAAAAATGGATCACAATAATGTGAATGCTTCATAAACAGTCACACTATTATTTTAACAGTTCACCAATGTTTCCGTCTTTTTCTAAGGTGCGAGATTACTCTGGAACATACACTGTGAAGCTGGTTCCCTGCATTGCATCGCCCAGTGGAGAGTTCAGCTCACCTCCTGTGTGCCACCCAAGAGAGCCGCTTACTTTTGACATAAATATTAGATTCCAGCAGGTCAGACAAGATAACCCGACAAAAAATAGTTTTGTTTTAACTTTACTTCTGTGTTTATTGGATGTGCAACCCATTTTCTCCAGGTGAGTGACCCAGTGGCAGCTGAATTTAGTCTGAATACCCAAATGTTCCTCCTGTCCAAACAAGAGCTTTGGTTGTCTGATGGCTCCATGAGTTTTGGAGAAGGAACAGATGCTGCTTTCTCAGAAGGTAGTGAACCACTGCCATCTAGCGGCATATTCTAAAATTACAGCTTGGACTCTGCATTTGAGATTTCAGTTAAATTTGTTCATTGCTCCAGGCTCCACAATTTATGGACGTGTAATGGTAGACCCTGTCCAGAATCTGGGTGACTCCTTCTCCTGCAGCATTGAGAAGGTGTTCCTCTGCACCGGAACAGATGGATACGTCCCCAAATATAACCCCACCAACAAGGAGTATGGCTGCTTGGCAGATTCTCCCTCTCTGCTTTACAGATTCAAGATTCTGGTAACATGCAATAAACATGGATTTTTTAAAAAGTGTTTATGTTGAAGCTGCTTTAATGATCATGTGTTGTTCTGCAGGACAAAGCCCAGCCGGAGACTCAAGCTCCAGCATTTGGGGATGTTGCCTTTAAGGCCAAGCTGGCTCAAGACACCCCTGGAGCTCAGCCTTTGGTCAGACAGCCAGGCTCAGATGGCTTCATGCTTTCTTCTTCTCCACTTTTTCAGGTCAGTAACTCTGTGATGCATTGCATCGATCCATACTAAAATAAGGAAGAGGATTACAGTAAGAGCATCTTGGGCTTCTTTTTCAGGTGGCTGCTGGTAGAGAATGGTTCATCCATACCATCTATACCGTCCACTCCAGAGAAAACGCCCATCGTAATATCGGCAAGCGTAGTGTTGAGTATCTCCAACATGGGCTCTCCTCTTTTGAGCAGCCTCATGCCTCAGACACCAATCACTACCGTACCGCCCCATTGCTCTCTGCTCCACTTTTAGCCCAGGATATAGGTGTCGAAAACAGTCGGGGCACCAACATCCAGCACATTGCATTGGACAGGTCAGACCAGCTGGTGGTCAGCCAGAGGAAACCCTGGTACCCAAACAGTGACCCCTTCTTGGAGCACCCCCTGCTGGAGAGTTCAGGCAGACAGCCCGCTGACACTTTCTATTTACCACTGGTGGTGGGCATCGCAGGTCTGGTCTTACTTATCTGCATCGTCACTGTGGTTGTTATTCTGCTGCTGCGGCACAAGAGGATGGGAAAGAAAACTCACTTTCCTTCGTACACCACCTCCTCCTCATCTGCCTACAGTCGAGGTCTGGCAGGTACACTGAGCAGTTCAGACAGCTCTGAAGTGTGAGTGTGGATCCTGCTTCACCTTACTCTATTTAAAAAAACAAGAAAACTTAACGGTCTCCTTCACCACTGTGCCTTTAAAGTTGTGTAGCACTGAATACAGCCCTGTGCTGAAACAGCCATGCTCAGGAATGTCCCATTTAGGCCTACTGGTATCAGATCATGTTGACAAAGATCTACCATTTGTGTCTTTACAGGTGTTGGTCATAAAATTAGAATATCATGAAAAAGTTGATTTCAGTAATTCCATTCAAAAAGTGAAACTTGTATATTATATTCATTCATTACACACAGACTGATATATTTTAAATATTTATTTTTTTAATGTTGGTGATTATAACTGACAACTAATGAAAACCCCAAATTCAGTATCTCAGAAAATTAGAATATTACTTAAGAACAATAAAAAAGGATATTTAGAAATGTTGGCCAACTGAAACGTATTAGCATGTACAGCATCAATACTTAGTTGGGGCTTCTTTTGCCTGGATTACTGCAGCAATGCGTCGTGGCATGGAGTCAATCAGTCTGTGGTACTGCTCTGGTGTTATGAGAGCACAGGTTGCTCTGATAGTGACCTTCAGCTCTTCTGAATTGCTGGGTCTGGTGTATATTCTTCCTCTTCACAATACTCCATAGATTTTTTGTGGGGTTAAAGTCAGGTGAGTTTGCTGGCCAGTTAAGAACAGTGATACCATGGTCCTTAAACCAGGTGCTGGTAGCTTTGGCAGTGTGTGCAGGTGCCAAGTAATGTTGGGAAATGAAATCTGCATCTGGTCAGCAGCAGGAAGCATGAAGTCTCTAAAACTTCCTGGTAGACGGCTGCATTGACCTTGGACCTCAGAAAACACAGTGGACCAACACCAGCAGATGACATGGTACCACAAACCATCACTGACTGTAGAAACTTGACACTGGACCTCAAGCAACATAGATTCTGTGCCTCTCCTCTCTTCCTCCAGACACTGGGACCTTGATTTACAAAGTAAATGCAAAATGTACTTTCATCAGAGAACATTACTTTAGGCCACTCAGCAGCAGTTCCAGGCGAAATGCTTCTGATGCTGTCTCTTGTTCAAGAGTGGCTCGACACAAGGAATGCGACAGCTGAACCCCTTGTCTTGCATACGTCTGTGCATGGTGGATCTTGAAGCATCGTCTCCAGCTGCAGTCCACTCTTTGTGAATCTCCCCCACATTTTGAAATGAGTTTTGTTTCACCATCCTCTCCAAAATGCAGTTATCCTTATTGCTTGTACACTTTTTTCTACCTTTTTCCTTCCCTTCACCTCTCTATTAATGTGCTTGGACACAGAGCTCTGTGAACAGCCAGCCTCTTTAGCAATAACCTTGTGTCTTGTCCTCCTTGTGCAAGGTGTCAGTGGTTGTCTTTTGGACATCTGTCAAGTCAGCAGTCTTCCCCATGATTGTGTAGCCTACAGAACAAGACTGAGACCATTTAAAGGCCTTTGCAGGTGTTTTGAGTTAATTATCTGATTAGAGTGTGGCACCAGGTGTCTTAAATAATGAACCTTTTCAAAATATTCTAATTTTCTAAGATACTGAATTTGTGGTTTTCATTAGTTGTCAGTTATAATCATCAACATTAAAATAAATAAACATTTGAAATATATGTGTGTAATGAATGAAAACAATATTCAAGTTTCACTTGTTGAATGGAATTTCAGAAATAAATCAACTTTTTCATGATATTCTAACTTTATGACCAGCACTTGTATAATAGCTGACAGAACTACTCAAACATTTTTTGTCTAATTGTATTTCATCTGGCATATGCATGAAAGTTAACTAAATTCAGCAGATTCATGAGCAAAATGTAAATTTCAATTTCATACTTTAAAAATATCAATTTTTTTTTATTGCTGTAATTCATTTTTATGGAGTCAGATGGAATTGGCCCTAAAGGGTGATTAGGGCCAATGTGATGAATATTTATTTTTGTTTTTAAAAGCCTGCATTACCTGTTCACTATTGATGAGTACCACATTAGTGTTTGAAGGCGATTGTGTTAGTTTAGTCTTTTGAGAATGCTTTTTTCTTTTTTGTAGACCCGTGGGATAAATATGTTTGAAATATGATTCTGTTGTATGTGTACATATTAAAACAGGGCAGTGACAAAAACAGTAATCCATCCTGGTGAAAAATATAAGAAAAAAAAATCTGATTTGCTTATCAAGCAAAATGTTTGTGACAATTTCAAAAGTTTGGATGCAGCTACACTTGAAACTACCAAATATAAATGTTGTGTTTGAGTGAGTGGCTTTTTGATCAGACAGTACATTTTATGTATAAAAAGGAAAGATTTATTTGTGATACTTAAAAGGACAAAAGAACTTTTTTTTTTGTAAAAATAAAAAGGGTACTTGTTGAGCAATGGAATGCAGTGCAACAGCAGGCATAAATACTACATAGTAATTTCTTTTAGATAACAACTAGTACAAATGGAAAAAAAAACAGCACAGCTGCAGTGATTAGGTAAGTGACAACAAGGCAGGCTCACAAAGGAGCACTTTCCTAAAACCTAACACAACCAGATCAGTCCGTCAAGGATTGTTTTTTTACAGCCTGCACACAGATGCTAGGACTAATGACACCGGAGCTGGCTGCCGGTGTCAAACGCTGATACTTCAGTTTGTGAGTAGATTTACAATTTCAGCTTTTTCCTGCGTCCTCGGCCATCGGGGGTTCCCTCTGGTTTACGTTTCTGTGCCTAGAAAAGAGTTGAAAAAGGTCAGAAATAAACAGAAACATGCTGAACATATTTACGTCCAATGTGTAAATAAAATCAATTTGAACTGAAATACTGGCACATAATTAAAACCATGCTGTTATCTAGTCTGCCGTGCATCCCATGATGTGAGAACGACTCCTGACTTACTGAGCTAGATTTTGGTCCTCTTTTCTTCTTCTCAGCCTTTTCTCTTTCCTCCAGCTCCATGTTCTCTCTCTCGATCAGCGTGATCAGAGTGTTGCATCGCCTCTGCAGCTCCTATACATTCAAAAGAGAATTACTTTAAAACAAAATAAAGTTTCATTGAAATAAAGAAACAGCAGGTCCACAAAAAAGGAGAATTTCAGTTTATTTATAGAGCGCCAATTCACAACAAAGTTGTCTCAGGACACTTTACAGGAACATTCACATACATAGAAAAGCTAATTAGTAAAGTCCTCTATCTAATGAAGCAGCAGACAAGTTGAATCTTCACTTCATCACCGTCTCCCATCCTGAGCAAGCACAATGGCAACAGTGGAAAGGAAAAACTCCTTTTAACAGGAAGAAACCTCCAATAGAACCAGGCTCAGGACAAGCGGCCATCTGCTACAACTGGCTGGGGTTGAGAGGACAGGAAGGAGAGAGAAATGGTGCCAGGGAGACAGAACGTACCATAGCAGTCCTGGATTTGAGGAACCAGTCGAAGCGGAACTGAGGGGAGTTGCGAATACACTGGCGAAGCTCGTCGTACACGCTCTCCTTGTCAAAGCCCAGCTTGTGAAGCATACAGATGAGGAAACGGTCCTCCTCCTCGGTATAGTTCTTGCCTTTGTTGGTGCCATAAGAGATCCGGAGCTGATGGAAGGGAGCTTTATAGCGACCGATCTGTAATCAGGGGTAAGAAAAAACCATTGAATTGTTGCACCAACAGTGCTCAGTGACGTGTAGCTAAGAAGCCAAACTGCTGCTAGCTACCTTTGAGTCCAACGCTTTCTTGATGCTGATTCGTCTCTGAATCCTGGCTTCTCCCCTTTCTATCTGAGCCATGATCTTTTCGATATCCTGCAACTCATTGCAGCGCTCCCAGAACACAGCTATAAAATAAACAAACAACAAAGTCGCAGAATTAGTTCAGCTAAGTCCGAGCTCTTCTGTTGCACAGAGAACAGATGTGTATATTCTGATTACCAGAATACTCCATGACTTCCTCGGGTGTTTTCCCCTCAACCTCTCTGGCAATGTTCTCGATATCGTCTCTTCCCCATTTCTCATTAGCTTTAATGAACTGGTTGAAGTCACGTTTGCTCCAAATAGTAAATCCCTGCAATGAATAATATGCTGTCAATAACTAACGAAAATACACTCAAATTATTTTCAAGTATACAAATTTTACACACAACATGAATCCTGATACCTGTTGCAGAAGGTTCTCCTTCTCCTCCAGTTCCTCCTCTGTGAGAGCTTCAGCCTCATCAATCTTGGCCTGCTCCTCCTTCTGGACCTGAGCTGAGTTGGGGATGTCTGGATTACGGGGAACCTGAGCAGATGCAGACGGATCAGCTTCAACACACCTCCAAAGACGTAACGATGACCTAAATGCTTGTCGTTTTATCTACCTTGTATCCTATTGTCTTTCTGTAGTACAGAATCTCTTTTTCCAGAAGCTCAAAAAGACGTGGAGGGAAGAACTGGAAGTCTTGGACATTTGGCTGCTTGGGGGGTCGAGGCGCCTGTCAAAGACACCGTGAAGTTTAGTCGTTATATTATCTGCTGTGTATGTTGTGTGTGGAGGGTGAAGAAGCTTACCTTGGGTGCTTTAGGCTCACTGACTCGCAGAGCTTCTCTGAAATACGCGTCCACGGCATAATTGGCTTTCCTTTCTCTTTTCGGAGGCTCGATCCAGTTGGTAATGACCTGAGGAGAAGAACAACCAGAAAGATTTAACTATTTTTGGGAAGTTTGCCAAATTGGATTCATGATAGTTTCTGCTTTTTGGCATCGAGGGGTTCCTATGTTATCGCTTTTGAGGAACACATCAGCAGCAGTTTCGATCATGACAAAACTGCCAAGTCTGTGTGAATGTTTGGTTTGTGCTACGAGTACTCAAAATCAGCTGATTTATGAGATCAACTGTAAGATGGAAGCGATTTGTGAGAATCGCAGGCCACCTGCAACTTCTAGGACTCGCCAGCATGTTGGGAGACGAGCTTGAATGAGGCTCAAATCACGAACCAGTGGAATGACAACAAATCTGGCCATTTTGGATCTTGAAAGTTCCAGCAGGACTCAAAAACTGGCAAGAAAAAAAAACAGTCTGCTGAAGAAAATCAACAATTGTGGCTTATCTGAATCGGACTCTACCGTTTGGCCTCGAAAGCAGGTCGACTGTCAAATTTCTCCTGGTAAATTTCAGAACTGCCGGCGGACCAACATCTTATCAGGACTATGGCCTATTCATGGACAAATCTCACCGTCTTGCCGTTAAATGCATATGTAATGTGTTATAAATATGCCGATAGGACAAGATGTGAAGAGATCTTTTTTGTAATACCACTATCCATCCTCATGGCATTTTACCTTTTTCTATCTAAAAAAGTCTTCTGATAAAGGGTAAGAGGCCGCGTTCCTGCAGCAGCAGCAACGTGCACTCCGCCCATCTTTCAGACGACTGTACGAACATAATCTCACTGCATCTCAGTACAATGATAAATAATGAAGCGTATTCTGATTCTGACAGACCAAACAGAAATTGGGAGCAAGTTTCACCTTCTTCTTCTCTCTGTAGTCCTCGCCTTCAAACGTGTACACACTGGTGTTCTCTGTGTCCATCGTGAAGTTTCTCAGAGAGCTCTCACCCAGAGACGACAGCTTTTCCTTCATCTCCATAGTCTAGCATTAAACAAGTGGAACGTTGGACATTTAGATACAGAACTTGAAAACCTTTTTGAATAAATGATTCTTACGGACTCACCTTCCTCTCACCGCGCTCCAGAATTGCGTCGATGTCGTCGTCGGTGATCTCGCTCTCCTTGGAAGCGAACACGTGGGTCGCACCGTGGCGGATGATGGAGAGCATCTCGTCTTTGCCGAGTTTGTTTGCACTTGGATCGACAAGTCTTCCTGGTAAATAAAAAGATAACCGATGACTCAAATCGTGCTGCTTAAGTTTTATTAGCAAACAGAAACGTTTTCATTTTTACTGATGTGTGGATTCTGGCTTCAAATTTTTAACAACGATGACACTTTCTACTTAATTCACTGCTTTGAATCGATTAAAATTATGGAAATAAAAACATATTTGACCACGACCGTGTGTAGTGGGCAGTTAAACATCTTAAATGATAGGATTTGCAGGTAAGAACAAGGACCTTGCTGGATGACGATAGAGTCCAGGCGTAGCTTCATCTCGGCCCTCTCCACAATCCTCTCCTCCACAGTGTTCTCGGTGATGAAACGGAAAACACGCACCTGCTTCTGCTGACCAATCCTGTGAGCTCGGTCCTGTCATGCAAACAATATTTATCTATTAACGGTCATGCATACATTTCCTCAACACAATCACAGACTTCCTGCCTTCTTAATGACAGTCAAGCCTGGGAGCTCACTCACCATGGCCTGTAGGTCGACCTGAGGGTTCCAGTCAGAGTCGTAGAGGATGACAACATCAGCTGTAGCCAGGTTAATGCCCAAACCACCAGCCCTGGTGCTCAACATGAAGATGAACTTAGAGCTGTTTGGTTCGTTGTATGCGTTAATGGAGATCTGGTTGTAAAAACAAACAGAGAGATAATTCATATGAAGTGTGTAGAAATTGCAGCTCCACAGAAAACAGAGTGAATGATAAGTGCTGAATTTCTTGTAGAATGAACTGTTAAAACAAGCAGAAGTGAAAGTCATTAAAGCCGTGACACACTCTATACCTGTCTTTCTTCGTGTGGCGTCTGACCGTCCAGGCGACAGTACTCGTAGTTCTTCCACATGCAATAGTCCTCCAAGATGTCCAGCACCCTGGTCATCTGACTGAAGATGAGCACACGAGACCCTAAAAATGTAACAAAAATAGAAAAATAAATAAAAATTACTTGTGAATGTATTTGAAGTATTTAGTGAGTAATGCAAATAATCCTGAAGTAAATCTAATTCTTTCTAATTTTTTTTTTAGCTCATTAGGGTTTGTTTACAGCGGCACAACTGGTAGAGCTGTTGCCTGTCAGCGAGGTCACTGGTTCAAATCCTGGTCCGGGGGCCTTTCTGGGTGGAGTGTGAATGTTCTCTTCGGGCATGCGTGGGTTTTCTCTGGGCACTCCGGTTTCCTCCCACAGACCAAAAACATGTAGAAGTATAAGTGCTGTGAAATTAGTTCTCTGCATTTAACCCATCACACCTGGGATACACCCAGGTGGAGCAGTGGGCAGCTATGGAAGTGCCTGGGGAGCAATTAGTGATTGGGTGTTTTGCTCAGAGACACCACGACATGTGGAAATGGCTGGGAGTCGAACCACGACTTTCTGGTCCCAAGTGGTCTGCCCTGCCTCTACCCCATCTCAGCCTCATGCATGTTAGACTGATTGATAACTCTAAAGTGTCTCTAGGTGTGAGTGAGAGAGTGAATGGTTTGTCTCTATATGTCTTTGTGATGGACTGGAGACCTGTCCAGGGTGTCCCCTGCCTCTTGCACAGTGATAGCTGAACATGAGCACCAGTGACCCACCCCCCCGGTAACCAGAAAAGGAAGAGGTTGGTAAAGATGACTGATGGATTTGTACACAAAAATGCTAGTTTACAGTCTAAAGAGGCGAATCCATCGAGGACCTGACTCAACCTCGTTAGATTTATCTACCTGGATTACTGAGCGTGCATCAGGATGCTAGTTTATAGTACTACCACAATACTATGAACTAAACTTTTACAGTTTTCAGAGATGGTCTTCATACCCTGCTCCTTCATTTTCGGCAGTAACTTGTCCAGCACTACCATCTTTCCACTGTTCACCGCCAGGTGCAGGTCGGTGGTGTAAGGGGGGCCTGGCTCGGCCCCGTCAAAAAGATATGGGTGGTTGCAGCATTTCCTGAGCTGCATGAGAACGTTCAGCAGACGCATCTTGTCCATTTTACCCGCAGAGTTCAGGATGTCGATGTCCTTCATGAGGATCTTTGTGTACCTGATGGGGTTTGAGAAAATTATTGTTCAGACCAAATTATACAAAGTTGTTTGTTACAAAAAGAAAAAAGCTTAGAGTTCATTCAGAGCCTCAGTGTTTTATTGGAAACTTTAAAGTTGTCTTAATTTCTCAGCCTTTAAATAAATTTAAAATAAATCTGCTTATTCTTATGAAAAACATGGTGTTTCGTTTTATTTTAAAGGTTCGGTGTGTTTGTTTCTCCAGGCATGAAACGTTTAAAAAAATAGGCAAAACACGTTTGTCTTATGAGGTCAAAAAGTTTTAAAGTGTCAGGAAGGATGCTCACCACTCACGCTGCATCTTACTTAGACCCACATATATCTTGATCTCTTTTTTGGGCAACAGAGTCTTCTCCACGTCTGCTTTGATACGACGGAGCAGGAAGGGGCGCAGCACCTACGCAACAACAACAAGGTATTTGAATGAATATACAAACATAAAAATGTTGGGTTAAAAAAAAAATTCCAATAAAGAAGCTCCATAACGTACGGTGTGAAGACGTTCAACCAACTTTTGATCGCCTAAGCAGTTGTTTGTATCAAACCATGAATCAAAATCCTAAAAGACAAACAGAAAGGGATTATTTATTGAACACACTGCCTAAACACAATCAATAAGAGAGTTTGGAGAGAAGTCAACACCTCAGATGAATTGAAGACGTCAGGCAACAGGAAGTTGAGCAGAGCCCAAAGCTCATGCAGGTTGTTCTGAAGGGGTGTTCCGGTTAGAAGCAGACGATTGGTTGTTTTAAACTCGCGCACGATTTCTGAAAGCTAAACCGAAGCAAAGACGTCCGTATCAGATTATTCTGCAGTGATGCATGTAAACGTTTATATCGTTTCATTTCTGCAGCTGTCTGACCTTTGACTTCTCGTTCTTGATCCTGTGAGCTTCATCGATCACCAGGTATCTCCAGTTGAACTTTTTGAACACGGCTTTTTCAATAATGAGCATTTCGTAGGATGTGACGCAGACGTCCCACTCTCCTGGCAGCAAGACGTCTCTGATCAGGGCAGTCTACATTTGCAGCAAAGACATTTAGTTTAAAATCAGAAAAAAAATGAATTTAGTTGTGACCTGTGCTGGCAAAACGAGTCAGAATGATCTCAGGCTGTAGTGCAAAATAAAAAAAATAAAAAATAAAAAAAATGTTTTGCCATAACTGAGATTTGCATAAAAAGGAATCTATAAAGACACCACCTAGCAATCCTGTTAACTACAATGGCATATAATCTTCCTAATCTTCTTTTAAATCAAAGATTTCTAACAGGTCTGAAATAAATTCAGAATTAACGTATTTTCTGCCGTACCCGTCGCATCAGCCCAAATATGTCTAAAAAATGGAAAAATCTATAAATACATCACTTCGCCATGAAAGTCGCATCTATTATGCGTCACCGTTGACAACCCGGAAACGTGGGCCGGTGTGCCAAAAATTGATGGGCTGCCAAATGGTGTGTACAGGAGGACTTTAACAAGAATTTAACAAGATTAACACTTAAAAACAATTATTTGTTTGCTCAACATTATAGTAAAGATGTGTCTCAGTCTAACTTTTACTTAATAAATGCACTTTGACGGTCAAATCATCTGTATTTCAAAACCCGATCGGTGGAAACGGCGGGCACGCGCAGAGGGACGAGCCTCCGCATTTCTTCAAAATTTAACAAGAAAAGCACCTAAACAATTATTTGTTTGCTTGAAATTATAGCAAAGGTGTGTCTCAGTTGAACATTTACTTAATAAATGCACTTTAATGGTCAAATTAGCGGCATTTCGCTAGGGCGGTGCAGCTGTTTTGACTTGCTCCAAGCAGCGAGCAGAACGAACGAAGATGGAGGTCTATGGCAAGTCGATTGTGTCATTAATAGCTGGTAAAGATTCTCAGTCATCTAGGACATGGTAAATTAAAAAAGTTTAAGACAAAACCAATAAAGTATAAAGCAAAGTATAATAAATAAAGTCCAGTTGTTTTTGTATTGAACGTTTTTGAATTTATCATTATAGCCACTTTTACCTTTGGTTGGCCCTGTCGCTGTTTAAAATGCTCTATAAATAAAATGGTATGGTATGGGGTTTTTTTTTAACAACGGCATGCCGTACTACTCTGCTGCCATCTAGTGGCTGAAAATGGTACTGTTCAATCTTTTTTCCCCCAGTCAGAATTAATGAAAACGGTCATATCTCAGCCAAAAATTGGTTTATAAATTTAGGGAAAAAATCCATAAATATGTCGCTTCGGCCTATAAGTCGCAGGGCATGTAAATTATGCAAACAACCGCGACTTATAGGCTGAAAAATACGGTATTCAGAAATAAACCTTTTAATTCTGATAATTAAAGATTCTTTGAAATTGATTGTTTTTCTCTGCTGGCTGCTGTAGCGCTGGGAAATTCCTTTGTATAATATTTGGCCTCATCGTGAAGCATGGACATTCGCTTTAATAAATATAGAGCTAGAATTCCCACCAACATCACTCCAGATGTTTCAAACTGGTGCTCTTGTAAACAAAACTAGTCGATTGCAAGGCCATGTAATAAATCACAACATATGCATATCATTTTGAAGATTGAGATTAAAATTTTGAAAATAACTCAATATTCTCATTGTGACTCATTTTGCCAGCACAAGTCAAATTTCATTCCCAAGTAGTTTCCATACAATAACGTTGGTCAAATCTATTGACAAACACACTGTTTCTAACATGTATCAAGCTAGCAAAGTAAATGATTTTAGTGTAAAATTACAAATAATCAAGCAGCAAATAACTAAATTCACATTTGTCTTTTCAGCTACCAAATGTTGACCCAGCTTACCCTCTGATCTCTGTCTCCGATCAGACAAACTGCACGCAGCGAGGGAACCCATCGTTTGAATTCGTTCATCCAGTTGTAGAGGGTGGACTTGGGAACAAGCACCATGTGTGGGCCAGGGATATTTCTGTAGTGTTTCATGTAACCCAGCAAGGCAATCGTCTGAAGGGTTTTTCCCAGTCCCTGAGAACAAGGTGACAGTGTGTTGAGACAAATAAAACTGGAGAAAAAAAAAACACGCTCTTAAATTTAGACGTCAACAATTATGGCGGCGAAAAAATACTGACCATCTCATCTGCGAGGATGCCATTGATTCCATTCTCATACAAAGAAATGAGCCAGTTCAGACCACGAACCTGATAGTCCCTCATCTTTCCTGTTTTTACATCTACAGAAAAGAAGAAAAAAAAAAATCAGGAGCTGCTTATTCAGTTTATTTCATAAAAACCAATGCTCAAAACTTCGCCTCAACACAAAAACAGTTTATAACTCACATGAAGGAGATTCGTCAAAGCGAGTGCACACGTTGGTGGTCTTTGTGCTCTCGTTAAGAAGCTCCTCATCCTCCTCTTGTTCTGTGCGTCGATGGCGGTTGCTGTCAAACACAATGATTCAAGAGAAACTTTTTTAATTTTTAATAATTCAAGATTATTCATTTGTGTAGTCTAAAAATAAAACTACAGTAATTGCCGGTGTATAAGCTGCTACTTTTTGATTTTACACAATTTGGACACTGCGTCTTATACACAGCCATGGCTAATTTATGTATTTTTATTATAACAATTACGGTAAAAGAAAATTTTTCACGAGTCACGAGGACTCATCCCCAAAGAGAGGGTTAATGAGGCTACCTGTTTACGGTAAATGAAGGTAAAAAAATATGACCAGTGAAATCACCGGATAGGTACAGGACGTGTGTGATGATGTTTTTCGGAGCCTGTTCAATTCTGACACTGAAGAGGATGACTTTAATGGTTTTAGTGCACAGGAGGAAGATGAACATAGAGATGAGTGATTTCTGTTAAACTACCGGTCCTTTTTCTTTTACCAGCCACGTTAAAGGCATTGTTCAGAAAAAAAACATTTACCATGTACTGTATGAAGTGTATTTTTGTGTTTTACTGGTACATATTTAAATAAAAGTTTTTAAAATCTTTCTGTGCCAATATGTGTTTAAATATTTCATTTTCAGCTCACTTCTGAACAAATGAAATGGAGAGCGGAGGTGAGAACGGGACAGGAGTCCTGTGGGCTCCACAGAGCAGAAGTCAAATTTATTTTAAAAGCAGTCAGTCAAGTATTTTGTGTATACCGGTACATATTTAAATAAAAGTTTTTAAAAAATCTTTCTGTGTACGGTAAATATTAGGGGTGCACAGATAAATTGGCCGGCTGATTTATTGGCCCTAATTTCCTTAACTTTGGGAAATCAGCCGATACTTGCATGAGAAACCGATTTTACAGATTTTTTTTTGTTTTAACAACAATTGTCTGAACTTCCTTTATATTTCAGAGCACTACCTCATGACCAGTTAAAACAAGTTTGTTTGTTTCTAGGATATTATTCAAGGGTATTTTATTTCAATAAAATAAGATTAGAAAATTGAAGGTGCGTTGTGACCTTATAACACCTGACAGTGTCGCTTATAAAACAAAATCGGTATCGGCAGGTCAGACTTTTTAGAAATCGGTGATCAGCCAGAAAACTGCAATCGGTGCACCGCTAGTAAATATCATGGATGTTGAGCTAAAAAAACATGTTTTTAATCATGTTACAAGCTCACAGCGAGAGAACGGGAGGGGCTAGTCTCTCCCAGTGAGTCACGACTCGTGCGCTGCATAAAGTCGTCTAATTTCTTTATAAAACACATCTTAAAAACAGCAGCTGTTACCAAAAGGTTCTTAAAATAAAAATCAGTGGCAGTAATTTAATGAACATTTACTGGTACGTATTCTGCTGTGGTTCACTGCCGGTCACATGACCGTGGCACTGTGACAATGGGAACTGTGGGTAAAATTTACCGGTAGGTCGATTTTTAATACGGTAAATTATAAGAGTTTCCAGTGATTAATGGTAGTCTGTTCTTAGTCTAGTTGTTTTCTGTTCATTCAGTAGGTTGAAGGTTATAAAGTAAAGTAAACCATGAGTCAGAGAAGCTGGTCAGTCTGCCTGTGTGTTGAAAAGCAAACCTACTGGTAAAGTCTATGAGTCGCCATCTGGTGGTTGACTCTTGTACTACAACAAGAGCTGCACATTTATCTCAAGAGCTGGGCAGTTTCTGATACAATGTGGACACTTGCAGCGTATACACAGGGGCATCTTGTTAATGTACAAAATTGTGTTTTATTTTAAATTTAGTGTGCGCGGCTTACACTACGGTGTGCTCTACAGATCGGAAATTACAGTACACAAGTTAAATCAAGTTTTTGTGGGGACGAAGACTCACTCTCCGACAGATAGCAGGTTCTGTTTCTCATCCTTCTTGATCCGAGGACGCCCCGGCTTCATCTTCAGAGGGGATGTGGGGGTCTTCTGTGCAGCCGGTTGGATGAAGTGAGCAAACAACTCGGTTTGCTTCAGCAGATATTCAAATCTGTTGGTTCGGTCTGTTTGCTGCATTACACAAGAAGGAAGGTCTCAACACTCATGTTACCAAACACTAGTCGTAAACCAGTGAAAAAAAATCTATTTACCACTTTCTCCTCATAACCTGGAGTAGAATCTTTAGTCTTTGTTGACGATGAGGAGGATGCATCTTGACCATCAGCACCTGTATCCGAGGAGGATTCCTTTCCAGCATCTGAAGAGTCAGACTTCTCCTTAACAGCACGAGAGTGGAAACAGAACATTTGTAATTACATGCAATGTTTTGATTTTTCTAAATACTGCAGAAAAGAAAGAACTAGATAATGAGGATGAAGCAACAGGACCTGTGGAAAGTGCTCTGGTTTTTGTATAAAAGACCAAAATATTAACAAAGCTCTTCTATAATTAAAAAAACTAATCACACTAAGTTGTTATCATTAAAACAGTGAGTGTTATGCTGGTGTGTGTTTTCTATGAAATGTATTTAAATATTTGTGCTATTACACACATCAGTGGTAATTATAGCAATGGTTTGTTATCTGGGTGTCCAAATACTTCTTTAAAAAGTATTCAGTTGATCCAAAATGCTGCTGCCAGAGTCTTAACTGGAGTTAATGGGAGAGATCATATCTCTCCAGTTTTTTTTTTTTTTTTTCATTCAACCTTTATTTAGACAAGTTAATCCCACTGAGCCTCGAGGACTCATTTACCAGAGAGACCTGAGACCATTTCAGCTTCTCTCCATTGGCTCCCTGTCAAAATAAGATCTGAATTCAAAATCTTACTTCTAACCTACAAAGCCCTCAACAACCTAGCTCCATCTTATATTTGAGATCTTATTGTTCCATACTTTCCCAACAGAGCACTTAGCTCTCAGACTGCAGGTTTACTTGTGGTTCCTAGTTTCCAAAAGCAGAATGGGAGGCAGATCTTCCAGTTATCAGGCTCCTCTCTCGTGGAACCAACTTCCAGTTTCTGTCCGTGAGACTGACACATTGTCCAGTTTTAAAACTGGGCTTAAGACTTTCCTTTTTGATAAATCCTATTATTAGAGTTGGCTTGTCATGCTGCTATAGACTTAGACTACTAGAGGGCAAATTGTTCACATTTCCTGAAATGAATTGTAAAAAATGAGTAGTTTTCATTTTATATTATTTCTATCTCAACATGTGATTCTCAACCTGCCATTGTGTATCTGTTCCTCCTTCCTGTTCCTCTCAAACCCAGCCGGTCGAAGCAGATGGCTGCTTGTCGTGAGTCTGGTTCTACTAAAGGTTTCTTCCTCATGAGGGAGTTTTTCCTTTCCACTGTCGCCTTCATGCTTGCTCAAGATGAGAGTTCTGTGATGAAGTTAAATTCAAAGCAGTCTGCTCCTCAGGTAAATAGTGTTAACACACTTTTGATGTATATGAATGTTTCTGTTCAGTGCCCTGAGATGACTTCTGTTGTGACTTGGTGCTATATAAATAATCTGAATTGAAATGATATTATGGCCATAAATCACCACGCTGTTGCAATGAGAAATTGCCTTCTCTAGGGCATTAGGGTATTTAATCAGCTTGAAACCCCCATAGAAACCCATCCAGTCAGTGTTACAAGATGCTCAAAATGTTTTATGTTACAACCATCTAACTAATATGTGTCAAACTCGAGGCCTGGGGGCCCAAAGGTGGCCCTCGTTGACATCTTATCTGGCCCCCCAAGATGTTATTTTAAATGTAAAATACTTTTATCACTTTAATTTTTTCAGTAATCTTAGATTATGATGTGAAAAGTGCAACAGAGAACGTCAAATGAGACAAATCAAACTCTTGTTGAGGAACCTGCAACTAAGAAAAGATGCTGGGTATCTAACTTGAGTTCATGTAGATTCTGAATTTGGCCCTTAGTTTGAAAAGGGTTTGAATTTTGGCTCCCTGTTGTGAGTAACACCCCTGATCTATGTGGACTTTTGGTAAATATGGGTTGTTTTCACATCACAAAGGCAAAAAAGCCAAACCTGGAAAGGGACAAGGATTTTAAAATATTTAAAAATCTCTAAAAATATAAAGGTATTCAGAAAGGCTCTGAAATGCAGCTGATTTTAAGACGTCTGACTCCCTCCTGGAAAGAAAGCAAAGAAAACTGAGATGCTCTGAACTTTTCCAGAGCTCATTGTAGGTTGTAAGAGTGTTTTTCTTGTGTGTTTTGCATAAGTATGCGTAGACTAGAACTGATGCTCACAGTAAAGCTTTTTTTTTATGACTTCGATCGTTGCTGTGAAACTGAAGTCAAAGTTGAACATAGCTCGCAGATGAAATCGCGGCGCTCACACAACCATCGCTGACCTGCTGATCTTAAAAACAAAGAGGCGGACGGGACGTGAGGGGGTTCTCTCTCACACTGAAAACTGAACATAATTACAACAAAGCGACGACCCCATCTGCTTTAGGATTGGACAAAGAGGCAAGTGTGGGTAGTAGCAGCAGTAATGGTCGGCGGACTGCAGTTCTTTATCCATCGTCTCGTTAGCTTTAGTCAAAGCCAGGCACCGAGCTGCTGCTGCTCTTAGCTAATGATAGCGCCGCCGCTAGCTAACAAGTTCGAGCCAAATTTATCAGTAAAAAGTGTGTTTTATACAGCCAAAATCAACATATCCTAACCGAAGGTGGAGAACGGTAGCTTTGACAATTGTAAACGTATGCGGCTTGTTGAACAGACATATTCTTGATTAAGGAGAGCGGACAATGCCCGTTTAAAACCGTCTTACCTCCGCTGCCCCGGCGGCTTCCTCTAGTTCAGTTGGCTCTTCCCGCTGTTCCACGCAGTTTTCGCTTTCGGACATTGTTGTTCGATTTCTTCTATTTTGGATATGCTGTTCGTTGTAAGGTGCCCGACGTGTTCCCGTTTAAAAGTTGTGATGGATTATTAGAACTTAACAGCAAAAAATTGAATCGAGTCTGCTTAGAATGAAAGACGTACCGGTCGGCCGACAAGCACGTTCAGGTTAGCAAAGGTTTTTTTTGTCGCTCACCCGCGCTACGGCGCTCTATCGCGAGACTTGGCTGCGCAGCGTTCACGGACCGTTGGAGATTTTGTCATCCGGGTTAGTGTGGGACGTCATTCAGAATAAAAACTGTGAAAACGAGGTTTTAATCTATTTTTCTTAAAAAATGGTTTGACAGAGGCATTGTTCATGTACATCAATTATTCAACAAAGAAGGCAACACTTACAGTGAATTTCTTACTTATAATTTTCCAGTACTGCCAAGAGAATTTGAAATAATACTGACTATTTGACTGAAGAATTATTAATTGGCAACTCTGACCCATTTTTAAGTCAAAATACAAATACAAATGTATTAGAAAATTGGTAATTAGAGACTATCAGTAAATCTGCTTCTGTATTTTTCTGGGATAATGTATTTAGTGATATTTGTTGGAAAAATGTTTGGTTGTTGCCTAGAAAATACTTCATAATTAATAAGATACGAGAAGTGTCCCTAAAGATTCTGCATCAATGCTGTCCTGTCAATAGTATAATCCCTAAGTACTGTCCAAATATAGACCCAATGTGTTAACTCTGCCACGCATCTGAGGAAAACATCACCCATCGTTTCTAGGACTGTCCTTACACTAAGTTGTTCTGGAAATACATTTTCTTGTTTGTGAACAGAAAGTTAGAAACAGACTTATTTGACGCTAAAACTATACTGTTTGGTTTCTTCTGTTTGAATATTTCAAGCAAGAAAGTTTTTCTTGTAAACTAGCCAAATTTCACATCAACAGCTGTAAATTTTCCATGCTAAAACCCAGATTTACAGGGTTTTTTTTTTACTTTTATTTCGTCTTATTTGTCCACTTTAAAGTATTGCACCAAGGCAAAAGCCTTAAAGACTAAAACACTGTAACAAATTTTTATTGTCAACTGCCCAAAACATATTTTCACATTATTATTTGCTTGTATTTCTATTTTGTCATGCCTGCCTTAAGTGGTGAGCCATGTTTGCTGTTGCAGGATTTTGTTGTACTGGTTTTGTATAAATAAAGATTAAACAAAAAATGTTTTAGGGGCCCCTCTTACCACTGGATTAAGGGAGAGCCCAGACACCCTGCGGAGAAAACATTTCAGCCGCTTGATTTCAGGTCCTCTAATGGATTCAAAAAATTTAAAAAATATAGACATGTTTTGTCTTTAATTCCAAATACTTCTTCAGTCTGAGGAGCTGTACTAACCTCAGTCTTAGGGTGCATTATAAATAACATCTCATAGTGGGTCATCAACCTGTTTGTTGTTAACATTCAAAACTAGCTGTTCACATGATCAAGGAGGACCATCAGCCTAGCAGCACCTTGATGGCTGCTTACTATTCACAGGAGGCTGAGTGATAACAGCCTCCGCCCCGTTCCTCTCTCAAACCATCGTTCCTCTCTGTCCAGGATATGAACATCTTCATCCCTGAAAGAGTGACCGCTGGCCTGGAGATGAGTGTAGACCGCAGAGTCCTGGCCTGATGATGTTGATCTTCTGTGCTGGGCCATCCTTTTGGCCAGTGGCTGTTTAGTTTCCCCGATGTAAGACTGATCACCTTCCTGACACTGAACAGCATACACAACATTACTCTGTTTGTGCCAGGGGACTGGATCTTTGGGATGAACCAATCTTTGCCGTAATGTATTTTGGGGTTTAAAAGCCACTGGGACGTTGTGTTTAGAAAATAAACGTCTCAGTTTCTCTGATACTCCCTCAACATATGGAATGACCACTGGTCTGGGTCTGGGTTCCTCCTTTTCACCTGATGGCTGACTGGAGTCCTGTTGGGGTTTCTTCTCTGCTTTCAGGAAGGCCCAGTTAGGATATCCACATTGCTCTTGAGCCTGTCTTGTGTGGGATTTCTCCTTCTGCCTGGCTCCTGAGTTAGGAGCCATATACAGTATCATATGGATATCAAAACTTTCAGGAGAAGGGTGCTATGACTTTTGGTATTGGTGCAACTTTAGCTTTTTGAAATCTTTAACTGTCACTTTTTTCTCATAAGAAAAGAATTGAGCTCATTTTACATCCTCAGATCTTTAAATCTGTTTAAAACATTTTACTGATCACACATTTTGTTCTGGTCCAGCTTCTTTCAGCTTCCTTGTGCAAATTTATACATTTTTCAGCTACCCAACATTTTTCAGTCAGGTTATCTGGACAGTTTCTTTTTTTTTTGTTTGTTTGTGCTGAAACGTTTCAACTTCGATCCGGAAGGCTTACTCCTTAGAGTAAGCTGTTGGAGGAAAAAACAGATTTGTTGTGTGTTTCCTTGACTGATGAAGCCTTCCGGATCAAAGGCGAAATGTTTCAGCACAAAAAAAAAACTGTCAAGATGACCTTTTCATTCAACCTTTATTTAGACAGGTAATCCCATTGAGCCTCGAGGACTCATTTACAAGAGAGACATGATTTCAACAAAGAAAGATGACAACAATGGACAACAGCAACAACAATAAACAGTTATAAAAAGTCAAACTGCAGTTTGTTTGTTTTTTTGTTATTTTTAATGTTGGATTTTATACCTGGATTATTGAGCATGGACTTTGTTGTTTTCAACCAGTTTGACAAGACTGTCAACAAGGAAGAGGGCCGGCAATGGAGGAGGGGGCGTACCAAAGAGACCATTTTATCACAAGCAGAACTGGTTTGTTCCACTTTGGAGTAAGCTGTTGGGGGAAGAATCAGTTTTGTTGTGTATTTCCTTGACTGATGAAGCCTTCTGGATCGAAGGCGAAATGTTTCAGCACAAAAAAAAAAAGACAAGAAACTGTCCAGATGACCTGACTGAAAAATGTTGGATTTTATACATGAATTATTGAGCATGAACTTTTTTTTCAGCTACTTTCAGCTGTTTTGTGCTCCTTTCAGGATATTTCTAACTACAACATTTTTGTGCTTCTTACTTGTTTCTGATCATTTCAGCTCGTTAGGCTGCAGCTTATTTCTGCAAGTTTGAGTTTGTTCTGCTATTTCAGCTATAGCTGTTTTTATGCTAATTTTGGATTTTTCATCTAATTCCACATTTTTTGCACTCATTTCATTTTTTGTCTTCCTAATTCAGCAAGAATGTGCTCTCTCCACTTCTTTCTAGTAATTTAAGCTTTCTGCTTTTTAGCTACTTTTCAGCTGGTTTTATTTTTATTTATTTATTTGCTAATTTCAGCTTCAGATAATTTCCACTTTTTTATACTAATTTCTGCTTCTTTCAGCCTAATTAGGCAAACGTGTTATTTCTGCTTTTTTCTGCTAATGTTATGCTAGTGAGGATCCACAACTTCTCCTCCACCATAACCCTCATCACTGGCTCTCCTCAGGGATGTGTGTTGAGCCCCTTCCTGTTAACTCTGCTCACGTATGATTGTGCAGCTATTCATCCAGGCTGTCACATTGTAAAGTTTGCAGATGATACAGCGGTGGTGGGATACATCACAAACAATGATGAGACCAGCTACAGGCAAAAGGTGGAACACCTGGAGAGCTGGTGCAAAGAGAATAACCTTCACATCAATGTGAAGAATACAAATGAGATGATTGTGGACTTCAGAAGGAACAAACACACCTACACCCCCCTGAACATAAGAGGATCTGCGGTGGAAGTGATCACAAGCTACAAGAACTTGGGTGTATAAATGAATGACAACATCAGCTGGGGCAGCAACACTTCCATCCTGATCAAGAAAGCTAATCAGAGACTACTTTCTCAGGCGGCTGAGACGAGCTGGTCTGGGAAGCTCGGTCCTCACCTCCTTCTACAGGTGTGCAGTGGAGAGCATCCTGTGCTCCAGCATCAACTTGCGGAATGGAGGCTGCACAGCTGCAGAAAGAAAAGCTTTGCAGAGAGTGGTGAAGGCTGCACAGAAGTCTGTTGGAGTCAGCCTCCCCACCATCACAGACATCTACACCTCTAGATGCAGGAAGAGAGCCACCTGCATCATGAAGGACCCCACTCACCCAGCACACACACTTTTTGTCCCGCTTCCCTCAGGAAGGAGGTTGGGGAGCATTAAGTGTAGAACCACTAGACTGAGGAACAGCTTCTACCATGAGGCTGTTAGACTCATGAATCTCTAACCAGAATAATCACTGTGAAAAATTACATCATATTGCTGCTGATCTGTTCCATGTTGATGTGTTCATGTTCACGCGTGCTCATCTGCTCACACAGACTCATGCTCATGTTCGTGCTGCTGTTCGACGTAATGTTTTTATGCCATTAGTGCTTAGTGTATTTTAGTTGATGTTTTTCTTAGTTCATATCTTAGATGTTATCATTGTTTTTCTTTTACATTTTTATTGTTGGGTGTAACTGGGACCCTGTGTACATAATGTTGTCATGTACCACATGTGGTGTGAACGACAATAAAGAATCTCTGACTCTAATTTAAGCTTGTTTTACCTATTCAGCTAACTTTTTAGTGTTTTCTAGCTAATTGACTTTTAAGATAAATTCAAGTTTTTTGCAGTAATGTTTGCTACTTTCAGCCCAATTAATATCTCTATTCTAATTTAATCTTGTTATGCTCCTTTTAACTTAATTATGCTAGTTTCAGCTTTTTCTTCTACTTTCAGCTTTTTCTGATATTTCAGCTACTAAGTTTTTATGCCAATTTTTGCATTTTCAGACACATTTTGTAGCTCATTTCAGCTCTTTCCGCTTCCTTCTGGTAGTTTAAGCTTCTTTTTATGCATTTTCAGCTACTTTTCAGACATTTTTTTCAGCTTTTTTTGTTTAGCTAATTTTTTTTGGTGCTCGTTTGTGCTCATTTACACCTAATTCAGCAAATAAGTGTTTTTTTCTGCTTCTGCTAATTTAGGCTTGTACTTCCATTTAAGCTACATGATTTCAGCATGTTTATTTAGCAAATTGTAGCTGTTTTTAGCAAGTTTTTCTGTAATAAGCATTTGCTCTGCATTTTCGCAGGAAATGCAATTTCTCTAGTTGAGAAATTATATCAGTTGTTTATATATTCCAAAAATAAACCGTATTGTAAAAAAATTCTTATAGTTAGATTATTTTATAGATCCTTTGTTTTAAAGCCTATTCTTTTTGTTTTCTTATTAACTTTAATTTACTTTTTCTTATTTCTTATTATTCATTATTAAGAAAAATAGGTTTACAGTTTACTCAAATTGATTAATATTTCTTGCACTGTATTTGTGCTCACACATCACAGTTGCTTGGTAGTTTTGTTTGTTTTATTATAAATCGATCTTTCATCGTGATCATGTTTTGATTTCCTATATTTAAAAAGCGGTTTAAACCGAAAATGACTGAATATTAATGAAAAGCAAAGAAACCTCAATTAATAGTTATTTTAATTATTGGCAAAGATAGCAAAAATCTTTAAAAAGCGAAGCAGGAGACATACGTAACATGACAATATAAACACTATATACTTTGTCAATATTTGAAATCTAATTAACTAATAATAGTCACGCACAGTTTTGTATTGAACAAGTGGTGTTTTTTTTAATATACTTTATTTCAACCAGACAATATTACAAAAATCTTCCAATCAAAAGAAGCATCAAAACACAATTAAAAAAAGATACATAACTATCACAGACCCTATCAAACTAGACCTCACAGTTCTTAACTAAATATAAAAGCAACTATCTCAACAAAAATAAATTCAAGTTTAAATAGCAGAGGGTCTGAAACAATAAACAAAGAAATACAATACAAAGAGAAAAAGAACAATAAACAACAAAGGGATCTGCTTATGGGATAAAATTAAATTTCTGAAAAAGAGCTTTTCTTCTTAGAAGTTCTTTATTGTTAAAATTAAGCTTTTCAATAGACTACATTGTGGGACGAAAAGCTTTCGTAGATGGAAAAGAAATTCGACAGACATCTGGACAACAAGTGGTGTTTTTTATTTTATTTATTTTATTTTTGGTCAGGCTTCAGTAAAACAGCTTCGGGGTCCTGACGACGTATCATCCGTCGGAATGACGTTAGAGAAAGGTTAATCAGCTGATTTTCAGCGAATAAAAAAACAAAACAAAACACGGATTTATGTGTGAGAAAACGCTTAAATTGGACTGATAGCGGATGATATTCTGGTTGAATTTTGTTGACATGTTATATTTAGGTAAGTCCAGGTTTGTTTGCTTCTGAGTTGCACCCATTCGTTATTGTGTTTATTATGCTAAGTCAGAGTTACCCGACTTTTCTAGGCAGACGTTTGGCCTGTTTGGTTGCTTTGTCTTTCGTGACCTATAATACTATTATTTTTGTCGTAGCGAAAATTACAGACATTATAAAGATGGCATACTTTCCCAAAAGTTTTAGTTTTATATTTTGTAAGTGCTTTGTCATAAAAATGTATGGAAGAATGCGTTAAACCGAACTAGCATTAGCATTAGCTTCTATGTATCTTCTTTGCACCAACAAAAAACAGCTGGTTGTTGACTTCCAGTGTAATATCAATTTGTGTAAATTACCAGTAGTTCAGTTTAATTTAAATACGTTTTCAGAACATATAGCTATTTTTAAATATATATTATGTGTATATGTGTATAATAGCGGGGTGCAATCTGTCTTTCGATTTGATTCAGAAATTATTTTCGATTCAGGAAATATTTTTCTATTGAAATGGTCATACATTTTGTTTAAGCTATGTGATTGACAAAATAAAAAGATGAAACAGCAATGTAAACAAATGGAACATTTATTTAAAACAATGCTTTTAGGTTCTTTACTGTATCAAATATGTTATCTCATTTTATATTTGTACCAAAAATAAGACTGCATAAAATTCTGTAACTTATTATTAGGTTAGCTTAGCTGTGAACAAATAATTGAAAATATATAAATACAAAAGTAAACAAAGACTTAAGCCTACCATAGTACATTAACTTTTAACTCAAAATAAAATACGGACTTCACAGTTTTTTAATCATATTGCACTAACATTTGCTATATTTAAAAACTTAACCTTAAATATTAAATATACAGACCTCACAGTCTTAACCGTAATGCATTCATATTTGGGAAATCTTTAACAATTTTCAAAAACTGCAAGTCTGTACAAAAACACTTCTTAATTTATAAACCATCTAAATTATATAATTTTGAACTTTTTTTAATCAGTAATGCCTAGATTATTTTGCAGAAAAAGAAGCTGATCAACATGGTCAGAAGTAAGGTGCTGTGCTGTCACAATGTCCCCCGCTGTAGAGAACACTCGTTCTGCAGCTGCGCTGGTGCCAGGGATGCATAGGTACCGTTTAGCTATTCTAGACAGTAGAGGAAACGAAAGTTGCGTATGTAACTACGGTTATATGAATCCCGGATGACCACCAGAGGGCGGTGCTGAAAGCACTGAATGTTCCCTTCGCGCTTGCGCTGTTCGAGTAATAATACCAACGGAGCCACAGGTGTGACACGGATGACCAATCAGAGGCTACATAGCCCGACATCATCCGCAGCTCTGCTCCTACAGAATCTTCTCGCGGAACGCAAGGATTCTGAGTGACAGAGAAGCTCTGACGGTCATCCGGGATTCATAGAACCATAGTTACATACGTAATTTTCGTTCTATTTCATCCCTCCTGACTGCCAGAGGGCGGTGCTGAAAGCACTGAATGACTAATACCAACGATGTCACAAGGAATCCTAAACACCCACCTCACTGAGGAGGCCCAGAGGACCCTTGTAGAAGAACCTAGCCCAGGGGATGAGGCGGTGGCCTCGTTAACTCTATAAAATCTGGTGAACGTGCTTGGGGAAGCCCATGATGCAGCAACACATATCGCTTCCAGCAAAACCCGTCTCAGGGCAGCCCAGGAAGCGGAGACGCTCCTGGTGGAGTGAGCCTTCAAGCCGACCGGCAGGGGGCCGGGCCCTGCAGCATAGGTGTGGCAGATGACGTCCACGATCCAGTGGGAGAGGCGCTGTTTGGAAAAAGGACAGCCTAACCTAGGGCCTCCATAACACACAAACAGCTGGTCTGAATGTCTTATCACGGCAGTAGCTGCAACGTATGCCTCCAGTGCCCTCACCGGGCACAATAATCCAGACCCCTCACCATAGGCTGAAAACGTGCCAGCCTCAATGGTTGGTTACAGTGAGAGTGAGATAACACCTTTGGTACAAATGCAGTGTTTGGCCACAAGGTAACACAAGAGCCCCCAGGGCCCCACCTGAGACATGAGGCTGACTGAGAGAGCATGTAGCTCACTGACCCTCTTTGCTGAGGCAATAGCCAACAAAAAAGCTGTCTTGCATGAAAGCCACTTGAGGTCCACCTTCATCAGAGGCTCGAAAGGAGGGCGGCACAGAGCTTCGAGAACCAAGGGCAGGTCCCAACCTGGTGCTCGTGGAGCTGTCAGCGGGTGTGACCTACGGGCACCATGTAGAAAAAGAGAGACTAGATTATGGCTCCCTACCGTACAGCCATCAATGCCAGCGTGATTATATGATATTGCCGCTACATAAACTTTAAGCGTCAAAGGGGAGCGGTCCTTACCAAGTAGAGACTGGAGAAACTCCAGAATGGTGGGTACTGTACAGGAGACTGGATCCTCATTGTGATCAGAACACCATTGGGAAAACAGATGCCACCTGTTTTCGTACTGCTGACGAGTAGAGGGTGCCCTGGCACCCAGGATGGTGCATCAGACGGGGCTCGAAACTCAAGTCAGCTGCTGTCTTAGCCTTGCAGTGGCCACACCCACAGCCGAAGACGTTGAGGATTGGGGTGCCATATCAGTCCCCCCAACTGAGACAGCAAGTCCCTCCTGGTCAGAAGACACCATGGAACGCCCTGGCATAGACTTCGTAGCAGTGGGAACCATGGTCGCGCTGGCCAATACGGAGCCACCAGCAGCATCCTGTGGCCCTCCTCGAGGACTCTCTGAAGGGTTGGCCAAATTAGAGAAAGGGATGGAAAGGCATATAGAAGGACCCTTGTTCAAGGATGAGACAATTCGTCCTGGCCCAGCGCACCCGACGCCCCCGTAAGAGAGTAACATAGGGGACATCGAGTCGATTCTTCCGTCACAAACAGGTCTATCTCTGCCTGACCAAAATGGTCCCAAATCATCAGCACTATGTCTCTGTGGAGGGACCACTCTCCTGGAGGGGACCCTTGGCAGGAGAGAAAATCTGCGACCTGATTGTGTCGCCCTGGTAAGTACGCTGCCCGCAGGGTGGACAGGCGAGGAGAGGCCCATTCCAGGAGCTCTCTGGACACTCTCAGAAGTTGTGCTGACCTGGTGCCCCCCTGATGGTTGATGTGGTAGACAACAGAGGTGTTGTCTGACCAAACAAGAACATGCCTCCCTTCCAGGTGAGGCAGGAAGTGCCTGAGTGCCAAGTGCACTGCACGTAGCTCCAGCACATTTATATGCTTGGAGTGGTCCCTTTGACCCCAGCGGCCCTGAACTGCTCTGCGTTGCCACACAGCCCCCCATCCCATGGAGCTGGCATCTGTTGTGACCACTTCCCTGCGACACACTCCCATGGGGACACCCCTGGACAAATAATCTTCGTCCCTACATGGAATCGAGGCATGAAGACATGACCACGTCACTGCAAGCTTGCGACGCCTGTGCAGCCTGGCATCCAGGCGAAAGCTGTTGAGCCACCTCTGCAAGGGGCGAAGTGACAGCAGGCCTAAGGGCACCACCCGAGTGACTGATGTCAGCTTGCCGAGTAGTTGCAGGAAGGAAACATAGGGGAGCTGCCTGCCAAACCTGAACCGACTGACCAGCTGGAGTATGCCGGCCAACCTTTGAGCGGATGGGCGAGCTCTCATGGAAGATGAATCCAGAACCACCCCAAGAAAGGTGGTCGACTGGGAAGGGATCAGGCAGCTCTTCTCCAGGTTGACATTGAGGCCCAACTGGGCCATATGAGCGAGCAGGCGGTTTGTGTCGTGAAAGGCATAGGCCTGAAGGCCTGAGCCGGGGCGCAGAGAAGCCAAACGTCTAAGTACGACAGAATCTTCACTCCCAGGGCTACAGAGGAGAGAGGGCTGTCTTCACGCACCGAGTGAACACCCTCGGGGAGAGAGAGAGCCCAAATGGGAGTACCCGGAACTGCCAGTGGTGACACCGATAGGCAAACCTGAGAAAGCGGCGATGTTCTGCCGCAATAGGCACATGAAAATATGAATTCTTCAGGTCTACAGACGTGAACCATTATTCCCTCATGACAGCTTGAAGGACTTCTGCTGTCGTGAACATGTGGAAGGGCAGCTCCCTTAAGTACTGGTTGAGTCCCCTCAGGTCTAAAATGGGACGAAACCCGCCCGTCCTCTTTTGCACGAGGAAGTAAGTCGAGTAATAGCCCCTGGGTTGTTGCAGAGGGTCCACTGCCTCTATTGCGCCTTGGCCAGGATGGCGGAAAGTTCCTGGTCTAATGCTCGAGCTTTCACCGGGTCGGCGATTACAGTCATCTTGACCTGGCGTGAGATATGAGGCCGCCGTCTGAACTGTAGCCAGTAACTATGGGTCAGAGTGGCAACCACCCACGGGTCCACAGCGTGAGCAGTCCAGTAGCTGAGCTGCTGGTGGGAGAAATATATAATAAGGCACGGACTGACCCCTCCTTCCTTTTTATTCCTGAAATAAACGATCGGCCTGATCGCATCACCATCTCTCGCCGTGGGGGGGGGCAGCCAGAGTCCCTGGTCCGAGCCTGCCCAGCTGGTCGGTAGACCGACCCACGAAAGCTCCTGCTGGGCCTTTGCTGAACCGCATGAGGGTAAGGACCACCCGGCCTGTTATGACCCCCAGGCGGCGGCTGCATGCTGGAGTCAGCCAACGGGTGCCTTGGATGCCGAGGAGGTGGAGGGGGCATTGCCCTGCTAAGGCTTGAAAATTGCTGCCTTCTCTGTCGTGCCTGGACAGTCCGTTCCAGCGCTTCCAAGACAGCCGAACCGAACAACTCCTCCGACACCACTGGGACATTACGGAGGGTTCTACGGCATGGCTCAGTCAATGCTGACTGCACCAATCAGACTTGTCGGCGAGCCTGGACCAAGGAGGACATCACGCGCCCAAGCTCCCTCGTCATTAGTGCAAAGGCCTAAAGCGCTGCATCGCTAAAGCCCATTGCTGCTGTCGCACCACTAGTCCCCTGAAG